AAAAAAGGAATAAACATTAAAAAAAATTTTTTTAACTCCCAAAAAAGAAATTTCCAGGCCCAGATGATTTCATGGGAGAATTCTATCAAACTTTTAAAGAATTGACATCAATTACATCCATTCTCTTCCAGAAAATAGGAGGAAAAACTTGTCAATTTATTTTATGAAGCCAATATTGACCCTGATAGCAAAACCAGACAAAGGGGGGCACCTGGGTAGCATAGTCAGTTAAGCGTCTGACTCTTGATCTCAGCTCAGGTCATGATCTCATAGTTCATGAGTTCAAGACCCATACTGGGCTCTGTGCTGATGGTGCGGAGCCTGCTTGGGATTCTGTCTCCCCTTCTTTCTGCCCTCCTCCACTTGTGCTTTCTTTCTCAAAATAAATAGACTTTAAAAATTAAAAAAAAAAAAAAAGACAATATAAAAACCAGAAAGGTATAGACCGATATCCTCATGAATATACATGCAAAAATCTTAAAAAATACTAGCGAATGGAATTTAGCAATAAATAAAAAGAATCATATACCACTACTGAATAGGTTTTATTCCTGAGATGCAAGGCTGGTTTGGTACTCAAAAATCAATCAGTGTTAATTCCCCATCCTAACAGTTTAAAGAAGCGAAATAATGACCATATCAATCAATGTAGAAAAAGCAGTTGACAAAATTCAAAACCCATTCATGATAAATTCTCAGAAAAATAAGAACAAATATGGTGAACTTCCTCAACCGATAAAAGAGTATCTACTAAATACCCATAACTAACATCATACTTCATAGTGAAAGTCCAAATGCTTTCCCCAAATACTGAGAAAAGATGAGGATATCTGATTTCACTGCTCTTATTTAAGATAATGCTAGAAATTCTAGACAATATGATAAAGTAAGAAAAGGAGATAAAAGTCATATAGATCAGAAAGGAAGAAATAAAACTGTCCCTATTTGGAGATGACATGAAAATCTAAAAAAAAGATCTCCTAAAAAACTCCTGGAATTAATAAGTGAGTTCAACAGAGTCATAAGATACAAGATTAACATACAAAAAAAAAAAAATCAACTATATTTCTATATTCTAGCAATGAGCAAATGGACACCTAAATTTAAAATACAAACTATTTAGGGGCGCCTGGGTGGCTCAGTCAGTTGAGTGTCCAACTTCAAGTCAGGTCATGATCTCGCGGTCCGTGAGTTCAAGCCCCGCGTCCGGCTCTAGGCTGATGGCTCAGAGCCTGGAGCCTGCTTCCGATTCTGTGTCTCCCTCTCTCTCTGCCCCTCCCCCGTTCATGCTCTGTCTCTGTCTCAAAAATAAATAAACGTTAAAAAAAATTAAAAAAAATAAAATACAAACTATTTATAATTTGTCAAAAAAGAGAAATATATAGAACTCGCATGCTGAAAACTATACAACCCTGATAAAATAAATCAAAGAAGATATAAATAAATGAAGAGACATATTGTGTTTGTGGATTTGAAGCCTTGATATAGTAAAGACCTCAGTTCTCCCCAAATGGATATACTAATTTGACACAATTTCTATCAAAATTCTAGTAAGATTTTTTTTTTTGGTAGGTACAGACAAGATTTTTCTAAATTTTATATGGAAAGACAAAGGAACTAGAGGAGCTGAAAGAATTTTTTAAATAAAGAATTTATTTAATTCTACTCAATTTTAAGACTTATATCACTATATTAATTAAGACTGTGGGTACTGACAGAGGGGAGATGCATGGAATAGAGATACACCAGAATACAGAACCCAGAAATATACCCATACAAACATCCCAACTGATTTCTGCCAAAAAAGAAAAAGCATTCAATGGAGGAAAGATAGACTTTCAAACAAATGGTGCCTGAACAAGTGGATATTCATAAGCAAAAAATGAATTTCAAACTAAGCCATGTACCTTATACAAAAATTAATTCAATACCTTATACAAAATTATACAAAATAATACCTTATACAAAACCTTATACCTTATACAAAAATAATACCTTATATAATACCTTATACAAAATTATACAAAATAATACCTTATACAAAAATTAATTCAAAACGGATGTGGTATTTTTCTAATAAAATATAAACTGAAAACTGGCAAGAAGGACAACCAAATATTTAGTTCTGTGCTACTGTTCTTTGGTTAGCAATTAAAAATTTTCCTGGACAATTAGAAAAAAAAATATAGAAAAAAATATACTTAACACAGAATTAAATGTAAAACTGTAAGAATTTTAGAACAAAACACATGAGAAAATCTTTGAGATCTAACACTGACAGTGTTCTTAGGCTTGACATCAAAGTACAATCCATAAAAAGGAAAAATCAATAAACTAGACTTCAAAAACTTTTACTCTATGAAAGATGCTGCTAAGAGGATAAAGAAACCCTTATATGTTGGTAGAAAATATCTGCAAACCACGTATCCAATGAAAAAATACATATAAATATATATATATAATAAATATATATATAAATATATATATATAAATAATATAATATAAATATATATATACAAATATATATATATAATATATAAAGAGCACTCAAAATTCAACAGTAAAAAACAATCAAATGAGAAAATGGGCAAAAGACATAAAGCAGCATTTCACCAAAGCACATAAAAAAATATTCAATGTCCTTAGCCATCAGAGAATCCACAAAAAAGCAATCATGAAACTACCATACAACCTAGCTATCTCATTCCTGGGTATTATTCCAGAGAAATAAAGACATATATCCACACAAAAACATGTAACAATGAATATTTACAGCACTGTTAGTTATAACAGCCAAAAACTAGGAGCAAACCAGATTTCCTTTGAGGAGTGAATAAATAAACTGTTGTACATCCACACCATGGAATGCTACTCAGCAACAAAAAGGAACAAATCATTGATTCAAACAACCACTTGGATGAATCTCTAGGGAATTATGGTGAGTGGCAAAAAGCCAATCCAAAGGGATCCCAAAAAGTAGTTTATGATTCTATTCATGTAATATTTGTGAAATGACCAAAATGATAGCGAACAGATTCGTGATCACCAGAATGTGAAGGAGAGGGGTGGGGCTGGGGAGGTGAGTAGGGTTGGCTATAAGAGGGCAACATAAGGGACCCTTATGGTGATGGAGATGTTCCATATCTGACCATATCAATGTCAGTATCCTAGTTGTGATACTATACTATATATAGTTTGGCCAGATGCTATCATTGGGTTAAACTAGGTAAAAGGTATAAGGGATGTTTCTGTGTTCTTCCTTTTTTTTTTTTTTTTTTTTTTTTTTTTTTTTTTTTTTAAGATTGTTAAGTAGGGGTACCTGGGTGGCTCAGTAGGTTGAGCATCTGACTTCAGCTCATATCATGATCTCATGGTTCAGTTCATGAGTTCAAGCCGCACATCAGGTTCATTCCTGTCAAAACCAGAGCCCATTTCAGATCCTCTGTTCCCCTCTCTCTGCCCCTCCCCCGCTTGTGTGTTTTTTTTTTTCTTTCTCTCTCTAAAAAATAAACATTAAAAAAAGAAGAGATTTTTAAGTAATCTCTACACCCAACCTGGGGCTTGAACTTACAACCCCGAGATCAAGAGTCGCACACTCTACCAACTGAGAAAGCCAGACTCCCCTCTGTCTTTTTCTTACAACTACACATAAATCTATAATTATCTCAACACAAGAAATTTAATTTAATTTTCATTTTTTAAAGTTTATTCAATTATTTTAAGGGGGGGCGCAGAGAGAGAGAGAGGGGGGGAGGGGGAGAATCCCAAGCAGGCACCACACTGTCAATGCAGAGACCAATCAGGGCTCAAACCCATAAACCATGAGATCACGACCTGAGCTGAAGTCAAGAGTCGGATGCTTAAAAGAATGAGCTGCCTCAAGAAATTTAATTTAAAAAAAAACGAAAAAGGCATGGAAGAAGAGAAGAGACCAAGCCAGAAGAAAATTCAGGCTGACTAAGAGAATAAGAAAACAAGCAAGTAAATTAAAGTACCACTCTAATCGTTGGTAGTAGTGGTAGATGAGGCTTTAATTCTGTTTCTTCATAGCAGAAATATGAAAGTAAAATGCTTTGTAGGCTCCTAAGTGACTTCCTACTATTTATTTTGTCCTCACCTGATTTTCTTTCCTCTGATTTCCATTTTTCCTCTGCCTCTAGGATCTTAGCAAGATCCTAGGTAACCTAGGGGTATGAGAGGAGGTACAAGATGTGGCAAACATCCATATCCCTTGCCCTCTCCCTCCACTACAGGCCCAATCAAAATGACAACATACATCTTCAAATATGTCAGCTACACAAGGGGAGGGAGAAGAAAGAAAAGAAGCTACGAAATAAGAAGGCCAGTGGAAGCAACCCAGGTATCCACCAACAGATGAATGAATAAATAAATGTGGTATATACATACCATTCAGCAAGAAAGAGGAAGGAGATTCTGACATGTGCTACAACATGGAGGAACCTTAAAGACATTATGCTGAAAGAAGCCAGGTACAAAAAGATACTGTATGATTCCACTTATATGAGGTACCCAGAGAGGTCAAATTCCTAGAGATGGAAAGTGAGAATGGTTGGTTGCCAAGGGCTGGGGGAAGGGGAATGGGGAGTTGGTATGTAATGGGTACAGAGCTTTGGTTTGGGAAGACAAAAAAGTTTTGGAGATGGACGGTGGTGATGGCTGCACAACACTGTGAGTGTACTTAATGCCACTGAACTGTACACTTAGAGAAGGCTGAAATGGTAAATTATGTGTTATGTATATTTTAACATAATTTTTTAAAAAGTTCTATGAAAAAAAAAGAAATGAGGGCCTTATATGCCTTCATGCTTTTGAGAGGGATAGTATCTTTTTAATTGAACAAAATGTTTGAAATCTAGAAAAGCAATCTGAAATCACAAGTAGAGCTCAGTGTTTTAAAAACTTAGAGCAACTTTTTGATAACGTCTTACTAAGAAAATGGCCTCACAGGCGATGTATATAGCCATAATAGCTGCTCTTACCAGCAAATGTTGGCCGAACTTCTGGATCCGCCTCCCAGCATTGCTTCATGATGCTGATAATCTCCTCTGGGCAGTACTCAATGATGTCTTCCACATTTGGTCTGTTCCCAGATTTAATGCAGATTATCAACTGCTGCTCACAGATAGCATCTATAAAGCAAAGAGGGATTTAAGTTGACTTTTTCTCAGGTCCTAAATGTCTCAGGCAGGAAGATCGCAGGGTTTGGACAAGGCTGGATGTCTCTCTGCCTGGGGTGTGTTTTCAGTATGGCTGTCTCATTCCTTAGGGGCAGAATGACCCTCTGACATGGTCCACCGCCCAGATGATCAAACAACATCTTAACCTCTAAGATGAAAGAATTCACACCAAAGAGGTCTCCTGGTAGAACAAATAGAATATGTGACTAAAACCAATGGCATACTTCAGATTTTACTATAAAGACAAATAAGGTACGGCTCTTACCTGTAAGGAGCTCAGTTTATTGAGAGTAACAGAAAATATAGAGTGATAATTGCTATTTAAAAAGTAAGCACAGGGGCGCCTGGGTGGCGCAGTCGGTTAAGCGTCCGACTTCAACCAGGTCACGATCTTGCCGTCCGCGAGTTCGAGCCCCGCGTCGGGCTCTGGGCTGATGGCTCAGAGCCTGGAGCCTGTTTCCGATTCTGTGTCTCCCTCTCTCTCTGCCCCTCCCCCGTTCATGCTCTGTCTCTC